ATGCCAATGAATACCTGATGTAGTTTTAGTAGACATTTTGTTTTAGTGAAGAGTATTCGTGAAAAAGCAAATTAATATTTGGCAGCATTGGGAAAAACTATGATGGATTAGGAATTTACCATATAACCATAAAGTCCTTGCAAACTACGTGGCTCGAGATCTGCAGAGTACCAATCCCCCTTTCTAGTTTCAATGATAGGCCGCAAAATTCCGCAAGAAAGAATTCCTCCGAGAAGAAAAGATATATTTACGATATGAGGACAGATCATCCCTACTCCAACATGAGTTGCTGAGAAATCGAAGAAAAACCTGAAGCTTCCAAAACGAGGTTTTAAGTGAAACATAAGACGACATAATTTGATGATAACCTTGGTACTACATGCAGACATGGATATATCTTAACAGAAATTGATTCCACGTCTGATGATTGAGATGATGCTCAGTCACATGCTAGTGTTCCAATTTAAAGTTCTGCTATGAGCAGGAAACATCTGCTGGTCTGTTGAAATGAAAAATTAGAGACCAACTGTTAAATAAAAATTAGGCTTACGTGTATTTATATGCTTTTAATCCAAATGTTGGGAAGTTTGAGAAGCCACAATCATCTTCAGCCTTGAAGAACCATTTGAAGAAACCCCATAAGAAGCTAAATGAGAAAAACTTGCCAAATTCTCTGACTTGCTTCCTGAATACATAATGAACCAACCTTCTTATTATTGATATTTTCCTATTAGATTTATTTTAGGAAAAATTACAGAAATGGTCCCTAACCTTTCACTTTATTGCAGATTTTACTTTAATTTTCACTTTGTGCCACACACAGTCCCAAACTTTTAAAAAATATGCACCTGAGTCCAAATGGATGGATCCATTTGACCTTCAGTTGACTACACAATTTGATTTTGACCAAATTTAAAAAAATGTAAAATGTTAACTTTGCTGTTTACTCCTATATATCTAGGGGTGTCCAAAAGTCTCGAATCGAACCGAATCGAGCGGTTATTAATAAATTAAATACCCGAACGGGTATCTGAATCGAGAACCGATGGGTTTGGGTCGGGTCTCGGGTCTAGATCAAGAACCGAAGAACCGAAACTAAA